ATAAGACGCACCTTTTTCCCTCAAAAAAAAGGTTGAAAATCTGGGTGCCTCTTATACATCAAATACAGTATTTTTTGCCTCCCGAAGCCCTGCCCCTTCACCAAAATGGCTGTGTATAGCTTGTAGGAGGCTTTCAGAGAGCTCCTGGGGGCTGGGGAAGGCAGAAATGAGTGAAAAATGGGCCATTTTTTGCTCAATTTTGCTCCCCACCAGCCCCCAGGAGCACTCTATAAGCCTCCATAAGGCTATGCGTGCAATTTTCTTGACAAAAGACAGGCCCATTTTCGCAAAAAATGGGCCACTTTTTGCTCATTTTTGGCCCCCCATCTCCCAGGAGCACTCTGCAAGCCCCCCTAAGGTTATCCATTTATTTCTTTTTGAAAAAAAGCACCTGTTTTTCTGATAAACGGGCCATTTTTGGGAGGTTTGCAGAGTGCAAAAACTTTTCCCCCCCTTTCGGAAAGCTCTTTAGAGTGATTGATGAGAATTAGATTGATCAAGTGCTGTGCCAGCAGAAATAAAGTCTTAGGTGCTGCAGATTGTCAGCGATTTCCTTCCCAGCACATGGATAAATACACCTGGAAACATCTACCTACCTACCTACCTACCTACTCTCTCTCTCTCTCTCCCTAACTACCTACTGTATCTCTCTCTTTCTCTCTCTCTATCCCTCAATCTCTCCTCCTACCTACCAGTGACGTGCGGTGAGGTTTATGGCTGGTGAGGCACTGACACAGGGGTTTCAAATTTTTTTAGACTTGTGGACTTCAACTCCCAGAATTCCACAGTCAGGCATGCTCAGTTCCGATTTAAAGCGACAGCATTTGTTTTTCTCCTTTGCGAAAAAGTTTTCCTTCATTCTTTTTATTCTCCCTCCCCCTCCTTCCTCCCTCTCTCCCCACCCTCTCAAACAGACATGCGCACACAGAGAAGTTGGATCCCTCACTCACTCTCAAACAAACACAAACACAGAAGTTGGTTTGGATATATTTTCCAATGGCTTGAAAGCAGCTCCTCTGCCATACCCCCCCCCCAATTCCCCTGCTGCCTTCTGATCCGAGCCTTTGATTGCAGGTGGAGCCACGTTGCCTTTTCAAACTTGTAATCAGTGAAGCTGGGCTTATATACTTTTATCCAGGTGTGTGTGTGTGTGTGTGTGTGTGTGTGTGTGTGTGTGTGTTTGATTGAAAAGGCAACGTGGCTCTGCATGCAATCAAACTTTTTGAATTACTCCCTCTCCCTCCGACCCACACGTACCTTTTCCAGCTGTTTCAGAGAGGATTTCAACTCTGTCTTGCCTGCCATCATGAAAAGAAAAAAAATGTAAAAGGAAAAAGGCATGAGCTGAGGCCAGGCTGAGCTAGTTGCTGCCAGAGCCTCTAAAAAAACGCCCTCTACAGGAGGCAGGAGAACGCCGTGCCTCATCTACGTCAGGAATTTTTCGCTTTTAACCCTTGCTTAGCTCTGCTCGAGTGATCATAAAGTCAGACTAGATGAGGCACCTCGTTCTCCTGCTGCCTCCTGTAGATGGCACTTTTTAAGAGGCTTTTTTAAACAGTTAAGCACTAAGCAGAGTCATCCATGGTGATTCTGGCAGCAACTAGCTCAGCCTTTTTCCTTTTACATTTTTTTTCTTTTCATGATGACAGTGGTGAGGCTCTGCCTACCTACTGTATTTCTCTCTCTCTCTCTCTCTTTCTCTCTCTCTCTATCCCTCTATCTACCTACCTAAATTTGCCTCTTCAAAACCTTGGTGCGTTTTATACTCTGGTGCATCTTAGACTCCGAAAAAATACGGTAGTTCTCATATAGTGACCATTCTCAGTTATGACACTGATGAAAAAGTAATCTTACAGTCAATCCTTGCATTTACAACCATCACAGCCCTGTAAAGCAAAGGAAAGTTGAAATAAACTCTTAAGCACAGTTGCACTTTCACATTGCTTAACAGTCAAGTTGCTGGCCTATATTTTGGTCATTAAATGAGGACAAGTATCTTTAATCTAGAGCACGGATCTCAAAGTCGCAGCATCATGTTGCTGTCACATGATGTTCTGCAACATTTTTCTCCTTCATAGAACTGGGGTGGGCATGGCCTGCATGTGCCAGTTTGACACCCCTGATCAAGAGAGCACTGTTCTTTTTTAGCGATCAAACAATTGCCTTTATGTCTGTGGTCTTACATCTTTCTTAGGCATAGCTAATAAGGAGCACAGCTGTGTTTCTCTTAATTCCATGTCATGCAATTAACAGAAAGCACTAATAATGGCAGATCTTGAAGCTATTTAAAATATGCCTCTTTGGGAATTGTGTGTTCCAAGGTCCCTGGTTTGCTCTCACTACTTTCTGATTGTGTGTCGGAGAGTGGGGTGTTTGTGTCAGAAGAGACATCACAGCACATTTAGGTTGCAGCTTCTTACAGTGTCAAACATTAAGTACATTCAGCACCTGCTGTGCAGATCAAAGAGGGGGAAATGTCCATAGAGTTAAAGCCTCTTTGGTCTTTTAAGGAAGCATGACCAATGAATGCAGAGAGGTTTTCTTTCCCTTCCCTGAATAATGATGCATGCCTTCATCACCTTCAGCACCTCCTTTTGCCTGAGCAAGGAGATCCTTATCTCTTGGCGACCACATGTGAAACATTTGAAGAAACATCTAAAGTTATCCCCCCCCCCATTTCAGTTTGCCCACATTATAGTTGCCTAATCCCGGGAATATTTAATACTTTTATATCAGTGCTGTGACAGCTACTGGATGCAGTTACTGAATGCAAAGCAAAAACAGCTGCAGACTGTTTCCAATGATAATGTCTGCTAACAAGCCACTCTGGGCTTTAGCTGACATTTCAGCCATCTAGAGTTAAAGGCAGCTGTTTGTTCTCAATTAATTTTCAATGCATGTTTAATAGTTTCCCACAAGAAAAAATGATGCTGCAGCTTTTTCCCCTCTCTCCAAAAGAAATCAGTAGTGGGGTGGGGAGAATCATATTGTGAAAGCATGCTTTAGTTGAGACCTAACAATAATCACAGTTGCTGTTAAATTGTTTGCAGTGTAAGCCTGGCACATATGTTCAGTAATAATAAGGAATAACTCAAATATGTTTTTAGTATGAATGATCCAGTGTCCTGCAGCAGTCATTCAAAAATGCTGGGAAAGTGTAATTGAACATTTTGATGTATGTTTGCCCTATATGGAAATAATAAACCACATTAAATGGAGTAACAAGAATAAATAACTGCTGTTACTTAGTGTCCTGTTTCAGTGACACTTAGTGTCCTGTTTCAGACTGAGCACATAAGCACTTGCAAGGAGCTTTTATGGCCGCTAATAAGAATAAGAGTAGAAGAATAGGAGTAGAAGAATAAGAGTAGAAGAATAAGAGTAGAAGAATAAGAGTAGAAGAATAAGAGTAGAAGAATAAGAGTAGAAGGCAGCATAAAATCACCTACCCAGGTTCGAGGTCAGCAGGTTGGTGGGATATGCTTTGCTGTGTCTGTGACAGCAGAGGGAGCTGGGGAAAAGTGCTGGACAGATGGACAGACAAGCAGGTGGGATATCCCAAGCTGGAATATTGGCAGCAGGACCCAAGGGAGGAATAGAAGGTCCTGGGAAGATAGGCAGAGGGGTGAGATACACTGCACTAGAAGCTCTAGAAGTGAGAAAGTTGTTGGCATATCTTGCTCCTCCCTTCATAATTCCTCACGTATCTGGAAAAATAACTGGATACCTGGCATGAGATCAGATAGCCTTCAAAACAACTGATTGACAAGGACAGATTCTTGTCTTAAATAATTTCTCAAATATGGATATCCATTTAAGGCAGGGGTATCGGACAGACAGCCCATGGGCCGGATGTGTCATGCGCAGGCCACACTCATCCCAGCTCCATGAAAGGCGAAACGTCGCATGGCAGCAACATGACGCCACGAGTTTGACACCCGTGATTTAAGGAGTTGACTAGAAAGACTCATGTTCTAAATCACTTTGTTCTATATTTGAAAACTCTGATACAGAATGTGATCTTGTTCTTAAAGACAATTTTATGAACAGTTAACTTTCTTCATAAACTTCATTTGTGACAAATGAAAAGCTGCTAAGTATAATAGAGACATAGATGAGAAATGCTTCATTCCATTAGACAACCAGTTCTGGGATTCTGGTACTGTATAAACTGTATACACCAGTATAAACTGTTGATGTATTGATTGCCTGGCAGAGCTTGCTCAATTCTTTCTTTTCATTTCTGGATATAAGCCTGTATACTTCCCCACCTCTCACCTTCCAACTTGCTAAGTGTCTGTTGCTATTTGTCTTCTGTTAAAAAAAAAGACTATTTTCAGCAGTGTTGTGTCTAAAAGAATGATGCAGTTTATAGTGTTAACACATTTTATGGTTTGCATTCATTAACAACTTTTTATTGGATGGTATTTTTACATTATGCTTCATTGTCAGATCACAACAGATTATTTATAGAAGTTAAGAAGGAAATTAATAAGGCATGTCTCTTGTTCCATCTTAAAGGTTTTTCTATGTAGCCCATAATTACCATTGTTCTTCTTACAAAATTTCTGGGCCAGGTGCCTCTCCACCCCTCTCATCCTTTTTTTAATTTGTATTTAATGATTATCCTCCTTGAACAGAGACTTACTTGTATCAAATTACTGCATTGCATGTTAGCATTTACATAATCAGGTGAATTATGATCCAGGCAGCTGCTCTTTACCATCTAAGAGCCCTGGTAGTGCAGTGGTTTAAAATACAGTATTACAGGCTAACTCTGCCCACAGCCTGGAGTTTGATCCTGACCAGCTCAAACTTGACTCAGCCTTGCATCCTTCGAAGGTCGGTAAAATAAGGACCCAAATTGTTGGAGGCAATATACTGACATTGTGAACTGCTCAGAGAATGCTGTAAAACACTGTGGAGAGGTATATAAGTCTAAGTGCTATTACTATTGGTAGTACCTTCTGAACATGGGCTACTCTGTTTGTTTTTTGTAGCCCTCAGCCACCTAAGCCACAGGCTCCTGAGATGCCTTGGTCAGAAGAGGAAAATGCTGTTTTTCACCTAACAGATGATGACTTTGACAAGTTTATCAAGGATCATTCTTCTGTATTGGTGATGTTCTATGCACCATGTGAGTATGTTTTAATTCATACCCAGATTCAAACCATCTATAGAATGAAATGGGCATATTATATATAGCAACCTTTATTTGACGGTACAGCTTGTGTGTTGAAACATGGAACGACTGAGAAGACAAGTTATCTAGAACATCTTGGAAAGGTAATTGGTGATTCAGATGTGACAAACAGATTTAAAATTAATTTAAATAATTGCTCAGAAAGAACATTTGCTTGGAATCACTTTTTGTGTAAAAATTGTTGACTCACTTAAGAACTTAATTCTATCTTCAAGAAGGCAATGAATCCCTTCTGCAGCCATACTCAAAACTTATCCAGAGGTTGTCTGTTAATAATTCTATGCTGTTTAGGAATCACCACAACTGTCCGTAATTGACTCTGAAATGTAAATCCATGCAGCTTATTATTGTAAACTGCAGATCTGAGTTTCACCCCATGTACATTCATCCTTTTTGACCATTTCTGAAAGTATTCTACATAAGGATGTGTCCTATGCCATTTTCATTCGTTTTTGCCTCAGATGCCATTGTTTTAGTGGTAGCGTTTATATTGTATTACAACACATATGTCTTCAGAGTCTCTTTTGTTTTATGACTATCCGACATAGTTTCTTAGTTCACACCATAATCTTTACCAATACATAGAATGAGCGCCTTTCAAAGCAGCTATTGGTCAAACTCAATTGGAAATATCTGGAAATAAAAGTCCAAGGTCAAATGTTGTCAGTTATGTACACAATCCACTGAATGCAAGTCCCTAAAATTGAGAAACTATTGATATCACTAGACATAGAGTTTTCAGAAAGAGTGTGATGACCCAGGGCGTGACACAAAAACAGCAGAGCCAGAGAACAGGTCTAACTCCCCTTTATTGCTCCAAATTTGCCCCCAAACATCCCCACGTTTACTACAAGTCCTGGAGCAAAGCGCTCTCACACACACCTTCAACAGCCTCTGGCTGTGAGTAGTTCAGTAAGCAAGGTTTGCAAAGCAGTAAACAAGGCAAAAACTCCAGTTAGCAAAACAGTAACCAGAGCCAGAAGTTCAGCAAAGCAGGCAAGCCAGGCAAGCCCTACAAGACAGAGCACAATAATCTTCAGTAGCAAGTACCCATGTGGCTCCACAGATTCAACGCTTGTTCCCAACAAATGCCCTTCCCACCAGCATCTCCTTACATCTCAGTTCCCAGGTGTGCCTTGTGAAGAGGGGCGGGGCACTCTCCTCCTTCATAGCCTGCTCAGTCTGCGTTGTTCTCGCCTTTTCTCTTTGTGCTCTAGGATCAGGAGGAGGTGGTCCTTGCTCATTGCTTGAGCTTTGACATGTTCATCTTGCCTCTGTTCTTCCTTGTCTACAAGCTGTTCTAATCCTGAAATGTCTTGGCCTGACTGGCTCTGCCCTTCCCCAGTTTCCTCCAAAGCCAACAGAGCCACCCCCCCCTCAATCTCTGTCAGCTCCTGTTCCAGTTCATCTTCCCCCGCAGATTCAGGCTCTGACCGGGGTGGCGGGGGGGGGAGGCATGTCAGAGAGATGGGGTTAGGAGAATTGCATCGTGTTGCACACCTCTTTTATAAATAAATGTGTTTTTTACATACACAGTGAAGCATTACAGAGAAGGTTGTTTTCTGAGGGTCTCACCTGGACTGTACTATGGTTTCATACCTTATAATTCTTTGATTAATCTTCACCCCCGCCTGGAAAAGATATCTGAACAAAGAATCATTGCCAATTTGAATCGTATTTGTTTCAAAGAAATCTAAACTCTTTCCATATTCTCTTTTTCTCCATGATATTATCTTTTAGGAGCAATCTCTTTTGGGAAAAAAAATAGAAGGATCAGATACTATGTTAAACACTTCCTTTTGCATTAAAAATAGAAAAGGTAGAGAATGAATGAAAAAATATTTGTATCAGAGAAGAAATTTTATGGGACCATAAGGCTGATTATTAATTTTCTTGAAATTTTAGTTATTTCTTCTCCAAACCTTCATTTTCTTTTTCTTGAAATTACACAAATGTGGTCCAGAACCTCTAGACTTCGTGTTTGAGGTGGAAAAAAAAGAAACTTTGATTTTGGATTTTACCAATTAGATTGTAAGTAAAAAGTTGAGGGTAGAAATTACACAAACATGGACATGGACAAAGCTGTAGAGGGAACCTAAGTTTCTGTTATGGTGGAGAATCTAGATTTTACTTTCAGGTAAATGGTACTGGACGCTGTTTAGAATAGGACCCCTGGTCTGTGGACCGGTATTGGTCTGTGGCCTGTTGGGAACTGGGCTGCACAAGTGAATGAAACTTTGTCTGCACATGCATGAGATATAGGTAGTGCACAAAACCATCCTCCCTTCCCACCACTGCTGGACTGTGGAAAAATTGTTTTCCCTGAAACTAGTTTCTGGTATCAAAAAAGCTGGGGCTGCTGGTTTGAAACATACAGGCAAGTCCTTGACTTATGACCACAGTTGAGCCCCAAATTTCTGTTGCTAAGCAAGGCAGCTGTTGAGTTGTGCCTCACTTTAAAACCTTTTTTGCTACAGCTGTTGAGTGAATCACTGCAGTTGTTAAGATAATCATGCTATTGTTTAGCGAGTCAGGCTTCCCTCACTGACTTTGCTTGTTGGAAGCCAGTTGGAAAGGTAATAAATGGTGATCACATGATCCTGGGATAGTGCAACTGTCATAAATACATGCCAGTTGCCCATCACCCAAATTTTGATCACGTGGCCATGGGGATGCTGCAACAATCATAAGTGTGAAAACTGATCATGCATCACTTTTTTCAATGCTGTTGTAACTTCAAGAGTCACTAAACAAATGGTTGTAAGCAAAGGATTACGTGTACACTTTATAATTTGGATTGTTCTTAAATGATACAGCAGTATCCAGCAGAACCAGGACTACCTTACAGATGTGAAAATGCTAATAAAGTATTTTTTGCCTGATTGAGTCTCTATAGTGAAATCCCCCCACAAACTTTCTCCCAAATGCTGAAGCTTTTGAAATAGAAGTATAAATTCCCCTAGGCCCTGTTTAAAAACTCAAGATCATTTTGTTAAACAGAGTAAATATTGAACAGACTTTCCCAGAGCGATGCTGATGCAGATTTAGAAGCAGAATTAAATCATTACTATTCACTGACATTTTATTTTACTTTTTTTATTTTAATGTGTCTGAAAAGCCTATTGGGTACAGCTGGATTCCACAATTGAAAGTGGTTTTTTTTTCTTGAACAATTCATGGGCTGCTGAATTGTTTTGTGTAATGATACTTCCTTCTCCTCCCCCGGGAGTTGAATTGCAGAACCCTTAAGAGTTTATTGTGAAGTAATACACAATCTGTAATGATATTTTGTGAATAAAATCTCTTGTATTCAGCCTAAACCATTAACTACTGTTAATGCAGAATCAATTATGGTATTGTCTAGTAACTGGATCGATGTCAATTTATGGCACTGGATCAGAGTTGGTTGCTCCCGGTTCGACCGAACTGATAGTAGAATTCAGGCCTATGTCGCAGAACCGGCAGTGACCCAGGCCTGCCACGCCCCCAAACCACTTCCCTCACCGCTGCTGGGCCGTCGCCATTTTGGTTTTTAGTAACTGCCCATGTGCAGTTCACTGTAAATTGTTCTGCAGATGTCCGGAGAACAATTTATATTGAACAGTGTGCATAGCGTGTTTGGTGCACACAGCATGTATCTGGCACTCATGCGGGTTGCAAACCAGTAGTAAAACCAGCAGCAACCCATCCCTGCACTGGATGACATAGCAGGCTGTTTAGAGTAATACATTCCATCACTTGTCTTATGGATCCTGGCTCTATTTGGCTTGGAATGCATAGCTTGAAAGTTACTAGAAGCCTTAACAGAGAAAGTTACAATATGAAGTAGAAGTATAGAGAATCAGGAAGATGGCATTGATAGAGATAGACCAGCTCCATTACCATAGCAACGAGGGGGCAGGAACATGGCTTAAGTCCAAAACAAACCAATTTCAATAAAAGTAGTCATAGCTTTCCTGTGAGGTTGACAGGAGACCATTATTAGACCACTTCCAAAGAAGCCTACACTGGATTTCTTGGAGATGGGCAATTATAGTTGAATAAGAGAGTGGTGGTTTAAGCACAGGTAGTCCTGGATGCAGCAAATCATCTTGAGCTACTGTATTTCAAATATGCTTCAGAGCAGGTAATGAGGTTGAGACTGACTTGCTCAGTCTGATGAATGATCTTTGGGGACTGACATGGGGAGTTACTGTGATGATTGTGCTCAACCTCTCTGCTACTTTTGAAACAATTGATCATGATAGACTTCTGGGAATAGGAGACACTTTTTCTTCCCTAGTAGATTTCTAGCAATATTACTTGGAAATAGTTGCTCTCTGAAATAGACACTATCCTATGTTGTCCTTTGTGGATCTATTTTGTTTTCAATGTTTTCAATATTTTCTTGAAAGTCTTTTAAGGTTTGAGAACACATCCAAGTCATAATGAGCCAAACATGAGACTTAAACGGAGGCTTGAATAACAATAGCAATAGCAATAGCAGTAGACTTATATACCGCTTCATAGGCCTTACAGGCCTCTCTAAGCGGTTTACAGAGAGTCAGCATATTGCCCCCAACAATCTGGGTCCTCATTTTACCCACCTCGGAAGGATGGAAGGCTGAGTCAACCCTGAGCCGGTGAGATTTGAACCGCTGACCTGCTGATCTAGCAGTAGCCTGCAGTGCTGCATTTAACCACTGCGCCACCTTGGCTCTTATAACAGTCAGCATTTAATCTTTGATCAAAGCTTAAAGACATGATGGTCAGTTGTTCCCAACATACCCCAAAGATATGTAGGGAAGAACTACCCTTCAGAGAAGGTGTAGCTCCTTTTTATACAGTTAGAGACATCATAGAATAATATTCTGGCTTACAATACTCCTCACTAGACTTATCAGCATTATCTCTTTCCTCTGTTTCCACGAGTGGCCGTTTGGCCCCCTGTTGTG